CGAACGGGAATGGTACCTAAAGAAAATCAATCTGATAAAAACTGAGAGGAGTACAATAAGCCTAGAGCTTCAGTACGAGTGGGCTTTGAATCACGCCCTAATTCAGATAGAATATTAAATTACTTTTTTTACACCCACATGAATAATTAGCTCATCTACGCACATATTACAAAACGAAAAAGTATGCTATTGCCTTCAACTAAACTAATATATTTCATATCCATTCTAGGTAGTGAGAACACTGCAAAAAAATAAAATCTACCTATGATCGTTCACGTTTTGATCAACCGACTGCTATTATTTTTAAAATTTTAAGTAAACGAATTGTCAGTATATTTTTAGTTATTAAAATGAGTTATTCTTGTGTAAAAGCGATAAATATATTTTTATTTGGAGTGAGGGTAGCCATATGTGAGTAGTAGGGATTAAGTGTAAAGGTTAAATAAAAAGTCCTTTATTTCTCATGTGAGAGATAAAGGACTTTTTCTTTAACCTTTACACTTAATATTTTTATTTCGTGTATAATTATAAATAATTTGTTAATTTAAATAAAACTATATAAAGTCAATTTAATTACGATTACTAAAGCAACAAAAATAAAAGGTGTCATGCTCAAATTTCATCTTCGTGCGATATGGCCATCATATCTACTCTTGTTGCATAAACTACTTATTTATTTGTTTTATTTATTTCTACACCACCCAACTGTGAACCATTTAGAGGCTGGGAACTTACATAGTTTAAAAATAAATACAAATAAACTCGAAACACACAAGCTGCCACTAAAATAGTGAACTACTTTCTACAATAGTAAAACAATAATCTCAAAATAGTGACATTGTTATTGATTTCATCAAGACATATACTGAAAATGATCCCATAAAGATTGATTCGAATCTGAAAAATAGCAAACTAAATGACCAAATCATAAAATAATGAAATATAAATACTTTTTTACTGTATAAACTATAAATTAACCTATATATTATTGTATACCTACTATTTATTTTTGATAAGAAAAATGATTGGTTTATAAAATCATTTTCTGAAATTTATCGGATAAGTGACTGGCTCTATACATAGGGTTACCAGATGAAATCTTCTCCATCTAGGACAAGTTTATAAAAAAATCCGGACGTTATAAAATTTCTTCTGAAAAAGTAAGTAGTCCTATTTATTCCTTTTATAGAGGCCAAAAAGCCAAAAAGCTTCCATTTGTCCACTCGGCTGCAATAAGTGAAAATATTCTTTCCGCATTTTCATTTTGGCTGCTTTTAGCAACTCTGAAAATAATTCTTGCTTAGGGGCTTAGGCATAGAGACTAGGATATAATAACTCAATTACCCTAAAATTAAAAAGTTAAAAATAATTGATGACAATTCGGAAACAAAAATTACTATTAAATTTTAATGAAAATCATATGCCTTCAGAAGATACGATAAAACCAAATTCTAATCTACAAGAGATTCCTATAATAAAATGACTTTTAAATTTATCTAATTTTTGACAGAACTATGTATACACGTTAAATTTGACTTATCTTAATGAGGAACGGGCTTCATCAAGGAGTAAAACAGGTCTCATCTACGAGGAAAGGTCTACGCCTATGGTACTTCTTAGGTCTTCAAAACGAAAATTACTATACAAGTCAGCAATCATTTATTATACTTCTTAGACGATAATTACTATCCAAATCAGAAAAGCTTTCTTCGTATGATATAAAACGATCAACCAAATCATTATTTCAATAAAACCATTGAAATGGTGCCAAGCATTTTTAATCCAATGGTTTTTAAAAATGGAAAATATTCTCTTTATCAGAGGATCAATTCGATTAATCACAAAAGTAATTCAAAATCGTGCAGATTACCCTTAAAAAATTGAGATGTTTTATTTTCTCATAGAACATTAGATTCTGACCAATTGTATACGGATCTACCTCTGAGATATCCCCTTTCTAACAAAAAATGAATCGTAGAAATCAGAAAACGTTGAAAATACATAAAAAATAAAAAGTTTAATTATTTTTCTCATGGACTCCATTAATAGATTTTGACCAAATTTATATGGGACCACTCCTGACGTACCTCCTTTCTTTTAAAAAAAGGATCATAGAAATCAAACAACATAGTAAAAAGTCGGTTAAAAAAATTAGTCTTCTTGACTCTTATATTAGGAAAATAGCGACAATCGAAAATGATTTTCGATTGACAGACACAAAATGGTCATCCAAGAAAACATATGGGGCAATAGAGGTGTTTGAAAAATAACGGTATGAAAGACATACCATAAGAAAAGACTACTTTTTAAAATCCAGACGCTTATGCAAAATCGCCCGGACACACCTGGACGTAGTAAAAACCGGGACATGTCCGGGCAATCCCTAGCTATATAGAACCGAAATCTGCTTAAAATGGTCCCTGCCATATTATGGACTTCAAAGTGTACATTCCGAAACTTTAATACTTTATGGTGTACACAATTCCGGTAGTTCATAATATTTTTTATTTTTTAAAGGTTAATAACATCTTTAAACCTATAATTACACATCGATGACCTAATAACTTAACTATTTCAACATTTCATTCCGTTTTTTATTTATTAATTATTTAAGAATTATTTTACTATTTAACTAATGATTAGGTCGTGAGATTATAAGTTTCGATTAATTGACGGATGAAAAATTGATTGTCGGCATTTGATTGTTCTCAAATCGATTATTTCGTAAACCAAATAAATATCATAAAATATTTCTACAGGATGTTGAAGAAAAGTAGGAACAGTAGTGTAGTTTCATACATTAAATACTGTTAGTCTTACTGTTGGAAGAACTTTTTAAACCCAAATACATCCAAGAATCCTTGAAACATGGACCTTTCATACAAACTAGAGTTTGGTACATAGAGGGTTCGACAACTGATGAAGGAGTCGATGCTAATAGAGGCATTGAATACGTTTTTGCAGATAGTCCTTTCATATATAAAGCCAATAACTTTAACAGACTAGCTTTGTTAGTAATACAAATTACAAGTCAACCTTCATTATCTTGCAACAGTAACTTGTACGCATTATATAGTAGTATCCAGATTTGTAATTACCAGACGGTTGTTTACTGTGCACTGAATGTACAGATTTAAATTTTATATTTAGTTTAGGCTTGTCGCCATTGCTTTAATATGAATAAATCATCCACTCAATTCATCAAAAGTAGATAGTGGGTCTACTTCGTTCACTGGCCACTTTGAATAAATTACAGATGAAAACCACCTTTGCACTTCTCACTGCAGATAAATCACTAACAATATACATCCAAAGTGTAGAGGTGTAAATTCGACCTAGGTTACCATCAAACAATGGTGAAACAATTACCCATGATTGAGACAGGTCAAAATGTTCATCAAGTTACTGTCGGCCAAGAGTCTTCTTCCTAGATTTTTCTGGGAAGATTATTATAAAAAGTCAATCTACGTCTTGTGCCAGTGTGATGGCCTGGCTAGATTGAAGTTGCTTACACTATAGATCTATAACTACATGCGGGACCCACTGTCAAAGCTACTAAGTCCAATAATAACAATAGATCTGAAAAGGTCGCGGTAGACAAGTACAAAGAATCTAATCTAATTTACTATTTGTTCATAAATTCCACAGGTTATCGTCTTTATTAATTTCTTATTATATCTACAGTCAAGCTAGGCAGAGCACAGTTAGTAATTGGAAGGATTGATATCTAAGTGAAAGTCATCGTACATCTCAACAAACTGCTCGCGAAGTTGCATACTATAGCAGTCAGGTATTATATCAATGAGTACGAGGTATAGCGGATGAGATGTAAAGCTGTCGGTCCTGAGTCCATGGATGGACTCGTTAGAGATTCTTATCTTTGGTTGGAACACCAAAGGATTCGGCTAAATTTCTGGTATTTGGGGGTAGGGTGAACACCACCGTCGGTGTTTATACCTTATAGTTAGAAATAGGCTAATATTAAATATACTCAATATCTGTAAGGATGGGAGGAAAGGTGGATTGCCTATTGTGCATCCTCCAGGAACAAATTAGAATCTTAGCGCCTCAAAAGTTTGCTGGCTGAAAAGTCGCCGAGAGGTGGCTAGGAATTGCCAACCTCTTAGATTTAAATAAGAGTTAAAAGTATTCTGCTTGCATGCTATTCAGTTCTAAAGTACCTATTTGAAGAGTTTAAAGGGTTTAAATTTTTTTTTCCATTTTTGGATATTTTTAAATGATTTAAATTAAAGTGTGGGGATTTATTCAGCAATTTTATTGTTACTATAAAAAAAAAACTATATAATGTCTAATTCTGCTGTGGCTACTTGTAAATATTATAGCAAAATTACGAATGGAATGGACATGAAATATTTTCGATTTCTAAAGAATGATATCATTATGATATGGCTCAGCCGTTTTAAATTATGTCTGTGAGAAAATTGGACGACACGTTTATGAAAATAGTAAAAATACAAGAACGTTAAAAAACTGTTCAAAATCTATGTAACAAGTTCGCGGAAAAATGGGCAAGTTCGAGTCGCAATAAAGACGTGTTTGAAAGTCGTCATAAGGAATGGTTCGACGCTACCGTCAAGCTTCAAATACAAAAAGAGGCAGCTCTACCAGCAGAAGCATTTGCTGGTCCATCAGGAGTTGGGCGACCTAAAAACAGCTTTGTAGATTCGAGTGAACATTCAAAGCTTTCTAAAGTGTCGCCACTCATACAGCAAAATACTGAGGAAGAATTAATTCTCGCTACTCGTGCCAGCCTGTATAAGTCTGGTAGACGAAATACTGCACGAGTTCTATGAGATTTATTAGCTTCACCAACTAGGGCAGCTAAGATTAAGAAAACTTTGTCCTGTAAAAACTGCAGTGGCCTATACACCAAATGAAGCTTTGGCTCTTTATGTTGATGGACGGTTTACGAAAAACTCTTATATACTTATGCAGTCAGGTGAAAAAGTCGACACGCAAACATATATCCTACGTACGATATGTTACGAGAAGCAAAAAGGAAGTGCTACCCTGATGAAGCTTCTATATCTGTAACAAATATTGCTGCCGAAGTTAAATTGCAAAGTCTCGTCGACCACACTGTTCGAAGAATCATCGAAGTTCAAAAAGATGTGATTTTACAAATATTCAGAGATACTTCGGAAAACGTCACAATGATCTACAAATGGGACTGCGATGAAAGTGCCGACCACGCCACATATAGACAGGAATTTACAAATAGCGAAGGAAAAAAAATAGACGAATATATGTATGCCATCTGTTTAGTTCCCCTACAGCTAAATGTGGATAGCAACATCGTATGGCAAAATTCACGCCCATCATCAACCAGGTTTTGTCGACCGATTAAACTGTTGTTCGACAAAGAGAGTACACCACTAATAAAAAAGGAAATCAAGAGTGTCAAGGAACAGATAGAAAATAAATTTCCAACAAGAATAGAAGAGTTTAATATGAACATCAACCACAAATTCTGTTTGACAATGATTGACGGTAAGACATGCAATTTCAGAATCATCGTCACAGTCATGTGGGATCTGTGGAGCTACGCCAAAAATAATGAATGATGTTAAAAAGCTAAGTACTTTGAAACCAAATGAATGTTTATATGTTTATATGAATACGGGCTTTCGACACTGCACGCCTGGATTAGATGCTTCGAGTGCATATTACATATTTCATATAGACTTGACTGCAAAAAGTGGCAAATTCGCAGCACGGACGACAAGCTGATCATGGAAGAAAGGAAGAAGAAAATTATAGATGATATAAAACAAAAGATGAATCTTCTTGTAGATACACCAAAACCAGGTTATGGAACTACCAACGATGGAAACACAGCCAGACGGTTTTTCCAAAACACAGGTCTAGCATCATCTATCGCAGGTGTTAATAAGAAGCTAATTCATCGATTTGGTATTACCTTAAAGACAATGGCTTGTGATTACGCAGTCAACGTTGAAGTTTTTAAGAAATATGCGCACGAAACAGTTGCAATGTACATAGACCAATATTCATGGTACTACATGCCGTCTAGCGTCCACAAAATTTTGTAACACGGTGCGGACATAATAAAAGCTGCTGTGTTGCCTATTGGCATGCTATCAGAAGAAGCAATGGAATGTAGAAATAAAGATTTTCGAAATTACAATGAATTTTACACCCGAGAAATGTCCTGCAAAAATACCATGCGTGACTTATTTAATACCTTCCTTTATTCCTCAGATCCCGTAAATTCTTCTATTTCCAGAACAACGTCAATTCAGCAGCGTATATCGGAGACTCTGAATGTAGAAATTAGGAAGTTGCTTTGTGATCCCAAGTAACCAGAGCCACATCATTCTGATACGTCCGGCATCAAGCTCTGATAGCGAAAGCTAAACCTACTCGAGGTCGTATGACATATTTTGGAATTTTTTATGTTGCTAACTGTATTTTTTTAAATTCATGTTTTATTATTCTCTGTTTACCTACCTGTAGTTTTTGGAATCCGAATAAACTCTATTTTTCTTTCGTTTTTGTACCTAGTTTAAGTTGTATATAAAAAGGATTTTTTTACATTATATTTAAATCTTCAGTAGTATATTTTCTGTATTTTAGTACACTGATTGATTTTAACACAAAAAATGTATATATAATGCTTTAGAGTAATAAATAAATTAACACATAATTTTCGGACGCTAGATCGGTCATGTCACACACTGTGCATCGCCGAGGCATCACTAGATGCGCCATTTCAGGAAGTGATCATTTGGTGGGCTTCTACTCTCCCAATGGTAAATGCATTTTATTCATCCTTTTGGTTCCTACTTGTATTGTTTATGTTAAGATAATAAATAAAACACCACCGTCACTTAAGAACATTATATATTATATGTCTCCAAAGGTCTGTACACGAATGCCATGGTATCAACGTCATATATTCGATATCAGCGAATTATATAAAATTTCATGATGCTACATCTCTTCCTTCTTTTACAAATAATAATGTAAAACAAAATACAACTTAATTAAGAAAAACATAGTAATACAATAACTTAAGATCTTACGTAACAAATAAAATAACAGGAATACAACTTACTATTAATGATAACAATTATAACAAAATCTAACTAACCCTAACTTAAGTACTAATAAAAATAACAAAACTATGTGAGGATGTAAGGATATATAATAGTGAGGAGGTCATAAGACATTTTATAACTGATCTACTATTTTAAATAATCAGGTCTCTTGAATATTTTAATTTGTTCAGATGTTTCCACAGATTTTTTTCTGACACTTTCCATTCCCCATAGACTTTTTTCAAATTCATGATATTTCTCCTTAATTCTTGTCCTGTTTTCTATTTTTTATTTGAACATCTCCGCCGTTTTTATTTATAATAAATAGTATGAGGAGTAGAAAAAAAAACGTTGGACTGTTCTCTCGTCATATCTTTTATCTTTATCTCCCTCTTGAAAATTGTCTTGTTTTGCCCTTATTTTTTTGTCGTCTCTATATTCTTCTCTAACTTATCTTTATCGCTCATTTTGCGTTTTATTTTCGAAGTCTATCAAGCTTGGAATTTTATCTTTCAATTGTCTACCGAAGAAAAGTTCACCTGGAGTTTTACCTGTTACGGAGTGTACATTACTGAATAAGTTAAAAGGTCTTTTTTCGTATTTTTTTAATAAGGAACTTATTTTGATTCGCTTCATCCCTATTTTGCCTCTCGACTTCGCCATTTTGTTGTGCCAGTATGGAATAGTGTGAAATAAGGTGATTCCATTTAAACGACAAAATGTAGTTGGTTCTGTACTTACTAGTTGTCTACCATTATCGGCAGTTATTGATGATGGGAAGCCTGTTCTTGAGAAAATTTCTTGGAGTAAATCAACGGTTTTTTTAGCAGTAATCTGTTTTGTAATTTTGACCTCTTTATAACATTTGTAATAATTTATAACAACTAGAAGATACTCTTTGGAGGGTAAGGGACCAAAGTAACCAATTGCATTATCGGTCCATGGTTTAGACGGCAAGTCTCTCCTTTTTATTGGTAATATGAACGTTGACACTAAAATACATCCTCTGCTTGTTCGGTCTAATTTTTCTGCATCATTGTCGATTTTGGGTTACTATTTTTCTTTTTTTCGCAGTCTAGCTTTCATTGATTTCAGGATGTCCCTCGTGTGCTGCTAATAAAACATCGTTACGTAATTTAATAGGGATTACAAGTTTACTTCTTCTTAAGAGTATACACTCATGAAAACATAACTCTGATTCAGAGATCTTGTAGACATCTACTGTTTTTCTCCAATCGTTTTTAAATATACCTTTCTTCACTTTTTTAATTTCAATTTCAGAATGATCCTTTGATATTAGATAGTGGACAGGAATATTCTATTATTTGATTAACTGTTTCTATATCAAATGGTTCCGAAGAAAGTGATCCACAATATTGGATTTTTCTGGTCTATAAATTATCTTGAAATTATATGACTGCAGTCGCAGAGTCCATCGTTCAATGCGAACATTAGGTAAATATTCCCGCATTTAACAAGTATACCTATTTGTTTTAGATACAAGTGCTACCGAATAAAATTACAGTTTCTTGAGTTAAATTGGCTATGATTAGTATCAGATAATTTCAAACAAAAGGAAATTGCTCCTCTGGACATATACTTACCATTCCTAATTAAATACTAAAATAGATCATCAAGATCTTAACGCGTATGTCGTTTTAATAAATAGATAGTTAGTTGTTAGTTATTATACACCTACGAAACCAAGGTTAAACACTATTTATAAAAATATTGACACGCGAATATGGTGGGTCTTATTACATAAACTTTTTTAAAATTAACTTAATAAGATGCTGTAAAAGTAGTAGCCGCAGGAAATTTGATTTGTATTAAATTAATTAACACATTTGATACTGTTTAATTATATTTAAACAATAGGCTGAGACAAGAGGTCATATTTACAGAAATTCCGATTTAGAAGGACACGTATTGTAGAGTTACTAAAAATGTTGATTTTGTGGATAGAATTGGCTTTAGTTAGCAGATCGGATAGAATTGAGTAAAACTGACAAAATTAAACAAAAATGTAACTTTTTGCTAGCAGGTTCTAATAGAATTGACTAAAACTATTAAAATTACAACTATTATTAAAATTTATTGATAAACAAAATTGTAACTTGACATATAGATTAAACTGCCGTATATTATGTAAAATTTCTCCCGAATACACAGAATGATCTTGGATTTTCTCCATCACTCACAGTTTGTTTGCTACGAAGTGTTGTGCGATATTACAGATGTTTTACGACGACTGATTATTTTTGAGGCTTCCCGAATTAATTTAAGCAACAATCAGTCAGAAAAATATGACACAAATTTTATTGTTATGGCTTTTTAATTATTGCAACGTCTTACAATTAGTAGAACCGTTCCTCTTGTTCGTGACTTACGGCACCCAAATTATCCGGAAATGAATCGAGATGAGCACCCATAAAGGGAATTTTTAAACACATGTTATATACATGTTTCATACATGTTACATACATGTTACATACATGTTACATACATGTTATATACATGTTACATACATGTTACATACATGTTACATAGGTACATGTTACATACATGTTACATACATGTTACATACATGTTACATACATGTTACATACATGTTACATACATGTTACATACATGTTACATACATGTTACATACATGTTACATACATGTTAAATACATGTTACATACATGTTACATACATGTTACATACATGTTACATACATGTTACATACATGTTACATACATGTTACATACATGTTACATACATGTTACATACATGTTACATACATGTTACATACATGTTACATACATGTTACATACATGTTACATACATGTTACATACATGTTACATACATGTTATATACATGTTTGTTGGTTATATTTTTTGGATCCGGAGTTAGTGCTTGACGTAGTGACCATTCCTGATGTCAATTTAGATTGCATTATGTTTAGAAAGGAGTTGGACATTTGTCTTTGTCCGCCATCACCATTTCGGAATTATTGTGAAACTTCGTATATTTAGAGTATTTTGTCTACGAGTATTTTTTAGACTTAGTTGCTTTGACACTGACACATACAGTCACATGGCATTTCTTCGCCTTATGTTAGAAGCATCAATCCAGCCAAACTCTTACACTGACACAGGACGTGGATTTATGTTTTCTCTTCTTCTTTACAGAACTTGCACAATGTTGCTACTTCTTCTGGATTGATAACAATAAGGCGTCTTCTTGGGTAACAGTAAGACCTATTATTATTCTAACGATTTGTTGTTTTTAATCCTGTGAATATTTCATTAATTTAAGCAACGGTTCCTTCACTTTTTAGCCTATATTAATACTGAATAGGTGTTCCATCATTCCTTAGACTCTTTTTGCATCCATTGTTTGATAAATGTCTTGCGCAATGCCTTGGTAATTTCAAAAAAGAGAGCGGATCTGTCATGACCTTATCTGAGCTTTCTCGAGCTAATTCATCAGCCTTTTCATTGCTCTGGTGTCCTTCG